ACACTTTAATGACTATTTATTATAAACAGGCACATTTCTCTTTTAATGTTTGATAATCTGCAGCTCTTAAAGCAGATAACCAGTTTTCAGTAAATAGCAATATTGCTGGGCCATATTTAATTTCTGTAATATTGATTTTTAGTCTCAAAGCCCTCTGAAGGAGGAGTCAAGGGTTATGTTCCTTCTGTCTTTATCCCAGTCTCCAAAATGTGAGTAACTTCATAGATTTATTATAATTTGAATGTTATTTTCAGTACGTTTACATACTGTTTCCAGCTTTTCTCTGCCTCCCTTCCCCCGTCCAGCTAGTAAGGGATCAGATGTTTTCGTTTGCCAAAGGAATGCTGAAGGGGAAAGGGAAATGAACTTCACTCTAGAGTGCTTTTCCCATCCGTGCAGCAATCCATTTGTAAAAATGGAATGCAGACTGTGCAGTGCTGTGATCTGGGTCGCCTTTCACTGTTTTGCTCTTATTACAGAGTCAGTTTTAACTGACTTTCCCTCCGTTCATATTTCCTTCACCTGGGTGCTGTGAGGAAGTGCTCAGAGCTCACAGCGAGCCCCAGTACTGTCTCAGCTAAGCAAAGCATTCGGTGATACACCATACTGCACTGCTATGCACCAACTTAGAGACACTTAAGTTGCTTTTAAGATTATGTTTTTGTTTGTTTTTTTTTAAGCTTAATTGATTCTACAGATCCACATTCTCCATCAGATCTTCTTCCCATGTCTCCAAGCGTTTATGCTGTGCTGAGAGAACACCTGAGTCCCACAGTGATTGAGACGGCGGTACGTTGCAGGCTCTTCAATTCCCCATCTAACACTAAGCAGACAGAACGTACACGATACCCACACTGCTTATAAAACAGGCTTGTGCAGCTGTGACAAGGCTGGAGCTCTTTCAGGAGCTCCTGTGTTGCATTTTGAAATACAGTGTGCTGCAGTGTACTTGCAGGCCCTGCGCTGCAGGAAATTGTCCCACATGCTGGTCAGCAAACCATGAAATTCATAATGCAGAGACCTTGGAGCCCTTGCGCAAATTAGACTTCTGCGCTCACAAATACACAGAAATCACACTAGCTTTCCAGCTGATATAAAGGAATTGGTTTTGCTGAGGGGAGCTGCACAAGGAGCTTAAAAAGAAACAGATTCCGCAAATCCACACAACTTTTATTGCTATAAATCTCCACACGTGGACCAAAGTTAAAAGCGAACTGAAACATTTCTAGTAAATAAAACTAACGTTCATTAAGAGTATATAGGAATATTTGGGAATAACCAGTATAACCCATGTTACACTAAATAAGTTTTCTTTTTTTACGTGCTGACTAGAAATAGCATTCTCACCTCTGCAGTTGTACTGCACAGACCATTTTGGCTTCTAAATTACAAGACCTGAACTGGCCTAAATAATTACATCTTGGAGTAGCACTGATTTATACCCACCAAATACTATCAGGAAGCACAGCAGTGGTTTGACCTTGAGAGCTTCAAAAGAAAATATTGAATTTTTAATACTACATTTTAACTTTTGGTTTTCAACATATTCCATGATTTATGATCTTAAACTGGTTACGTATTTAAAGCCTGTCGAAACACCCTCAGGTGCCTCTGTGTAAAAACTCCTCCTGACTTCCAGTTCAGGCTATCAAAGACCGAATCAATGCAGGGGGCATAAATAGCAAAAATCATTTGGAAGCACAATAAAACATTAAGGATAAAAAAAAAGCCTGGGTTAAAAAGCACCGCAACAATTGGAGGCATGTCCTTACCCATCCCATTTGTCATTTGTTTTATATCTATAAAAACGGTTCTGACTTTAGAAACTGCATTTGTGAACTACACATACAGTTGCAATTCTTGACAGTGAAAAGAATAGTTGACTTCACTTTTGTTTATCACGTAGCATTTTCAGTTTCCTTTTTCATGTACCTCAGTTCTCACACAAGCACTGTCAGGACATCCCACCATATTCTGGGGTCACAGACAAAACATTTGCTGCTAAATTGGGAGATTCAAATATAGTCATGTTGAAATAATCCAGATGGATTTCTGGAGGCTCTTGCTAGATACATTTTCAAGTTCTGCTGGCACGTGGGGGAGAATATAGTATTTGAAAGTTAGGATAGTTTCCTATTTTTGTATGTTAATTATTCTGCTGAAAGAATGAAGGAAATTTGGAGTTTTTTCATCCCATACTCACACGAGGTAATCTATACTGGTGAGCAGCTAATCTGCGTTGTTAAAGCAGCTCTGTCTCTTCACTTCTCAACGGGACGTCAGGGAGCGATCACTGGCGTGACACGTGGAGAGAACGAGAGCAAGAGCCACGGCAGGAGAAGACACCTCAGAGCTCAGTAACTCACCCCTAGCAAGATCTGCGCTCTGCAGTCCTGTCAGATTCCCTTTCCATTCCCTCCCTCCTGCTTCCCTGACCCCTCTGGGAAACAAGACTCCAGTAGGAACTTTGCTCTACATATTTGTGGGCTGAAAGAAGCGCAAAATTCATGTAAGAAAACATGAACTTTTTATTGCTACCGCTTCCAACAAGTCTCTTCTAATGAATATCACTGGCTTTTGTGAGGGATTAGAAGGATCTTCAGAACCTTACGAGCTTTTACTAGAGTGTGAAAGTGAGATTGCAATGACTTTAAGGGCTTGATTTTGAGCTGTTTTTGACTGAGCAGCAGTGACTGTCTTGATGCTGACAATTTTGTTCTTTCCTTCTAGCTAAGTTCCCCTTATTCAACTGACTGAAGCTCGGGGACTGGAAAAACAAAGAATCCTGTGGACGCAGCATGGTTAAACGAGCCACTATTTATCATCTTTGTAAAGCATCATTTCCCGAAAACCATTTGACCCTTGAGCCTCATTTTGCTTTCATTTACATGTAAGCCAAGAGCCTTGTGGTGTCCGTTCAATCATAAAGAGCCTTCTGGAATTCACTGACAAAAGGCCAACTCCTTTCCTGCCTGTACATACTTTGACATCAGTGGGATCCAGGGGGCACAAATTTGACTTGTAAAATAAATGGATGTAAAATTGCCTTAAATACACTGTAAGAGAATGTTTTGCTTTGAGAATCCCATGAAAGTAGCCACCTAAAGAGATAAGGTTTAGGGAGGGAATTATTCTGCAAAATGGCTTCTGGTTAATGCTCTTTTTGCATGCAGTTGTTTCGACTTCTGTTTTAAAGAGAAGCTTCTCCTCCCTCTGAGCTTGATTGTCCCGTAGGGATCTGGAATGCCTTTTTGACCAGCGATCAACTGCCTTCAGCACAGACAGATGTTTGTAATTGACCGCGGCAAAAGGCAGGGAAGGAAGGCTGGGAAGACAAGGGAGTTCTAGAAAGTGAACAGACACAAAGCTCGGGGAGTCAAAAATGGGAGGACAGGGATAGTAATGCCTCCCCCTCCCTCAAGATAGGTGCAGAGGTGTAACGCCTTTAAAAATAAACTTTCTTTTTTCCAGTATTATCCCTAGAATAATAAACCAGCAATTCCATAATCACTGTCTTTCAAGCATATAGGCTCATTTGCACAAGAGCAGTTGTGTATATAGTTCGGTAACATCTGTAATTTATACGACTGATATCAATAAAAACAGATTTTGGCTTAAAGTTACTCGGGCTGTTGCGGATTTTTTTTCCAAAATACAGCAAAAACAAAGTCTTGCTAAACTACAAGCAAACTAAAGCAGCAAAAGACAACTTCACCTAGCGTCAGCCATTACTTGTTTTTTCCTTTTGACCCCTTCTTGCTATTTTAATACAGGCCTAAGTGGCAGGAGAGGTAACGCGGAGGAGGCCAGCGGCCCCACGGCCCTCCTGGCTCCACGCAGCGCAACGCACGTTCCCCGTGAGCCAAGGGGCTCGGCAGGAGACTGGTCCATCACCCGTTCACTAGCCAAGGGGCTCGGCAGGAGACTGGTCCATCACCCTGGTCGTATCACGGGGCTTTGCCTAAGGCTGCCCTGCCGTTTAACGGGAACGCAAATGCAGTGCAGCTCACGGCTTTTGAGCACAGAAGCCGCCTGCCGCAAAACAAACCCTAAAAGAGAGAATTCTGTCCATAAGCCAGGATGAGCGCCCCCCCCCCTGCCGTAAAACAAACCCTAAAAGAGAGAATTCTGTCCATAAGCCAGGATGAGCGGGATGAAGACTCTAAAGGAGTGGAATAAAAACAAAAGGGGAGAAAGGGGGGGAAATAAGCTCTGAAAGTGACGGTACTTGGGGTTTCACCGCGTTACGCCAAGAACGGCGCCCACGGCGATAACCACCCCACGGCGATGATAACCACCCCAGGGCGATGATAACCACCCCAGGGCGCTCCCCGCGCCGCTGCCCGTGATGGCGGCGCCGCTTTCCCTT